CGGTTTTTTTTGCCATCTCTAATTCCAATTGCCAAGAAAAAACATGGAAAACGGAAAACCTTTTCCATTTTTCATGAAAAATCAACCATATCAAACACACCCTAAATTTACGACTTTAATTTTATGTACGAATAACCTTTCCTCCAATGTAAGTTTTTTAGTCGTACACTTTTGTATTATCTCCCATTTTGTTATAGCGTCTTCCGGTGTAGTCAAAGGTCGAGCCATATAAATTTCTAGAATTTTCAAATTTTAGCATTCGCACAGCACAGCACGTCATATAGGAGTAGAACATTAACCAAAGTCATCGATAAATAAAGAGTAGAGTAATATATAATCTTTGCAAAAAAATTGTGAGGGACTGGATTCGATTCTATCGTATTTCCTTTTTGTATTATTGAAGTCTAATCTCCACCCATCAACGTAGAGTCGTAAGCTAAGGATTGAACCGCTTAAATTTCTAGATGGTGTGGTGTATTATGTCTACATCAATGTAGATGGGGAAGAAAACCACTTGTAAGTGTATTACAAACTAACAGCCCGCTTGCTTGTGCAATGAAACTGCTCACTCGCGTTGCGGAATTGGCTGAAAAATTCAGAATTAGCTCGACTCGAGGCACTACACACTTAGTTTACGTTATATCAATGTTTTAAAATCTGTCCAAGCATTGATCCATAGAAAGTTTCACTAAAGGTTCAAGAATTGAACAAAGATCACGTCAGTGAACCGACCGATTTTGGTCAAGGACCAGACCAAACAATAAGAAACGAGAAACTCAAAGTCTATAAAAGACACATTTCAACTAAAATCGTTATTCTTTTAATTTATCTTTAAGTCATGTAAAACTAGTTGAAAGAATATATTTACAAGAATTTTAACCTGTGTAACTTCGTATTTTAAGGAAAAAGTACACTGTTATCTCGAATGGTAGTTGGGACTTATGCGACGGATGTGTAACGTTTGGAATTGTCATTTGTGCACCTATCCTCAATGGAGAAATGAATTAAATATCCTCCCATGCATCATGGCCATATCACTTGGTTCTCGATTGTCAATGGGTATAGTTGCACAATCAGCTCTAAATGACGAAAACAATTGAAACCTTTGTTGATTTTCAACTGAACAAAGTTGAATTTTTCTTCTCAATGGGATATGGTATCTAAAAAACTAGAAGTATGAATCTCAATTATATAAAAAAAAAATGTGGATGCTATCAGGCATAGAAGCTTCTAAGACATGGGCGGACCCAGCACCCAGTGAGGGGGAGCAGTCACCTGTGCTGGATCTGTCAGTCTTCAATACCACCCTGCGCCGGGTCACTATTGCTGACTTGCTATTGCAAGAAAAGACAAAAGAAGAAGACCAATTTGGGGCTTTTTTTTAATTTAGTTCTGGCCATTTTGTTTTGGACTAAGAGAGTTGGGTATTTAAAAAAGTTTGGGCCCTTTTTTTTTGAACCTTTTGTTTTGAATAATTTCTAATATTATTTAATTAAATATTAATAAACGATATTACTCTTATTATCGCTCATTGTCTACAATCAATGGTCAACGATCAACATTTGACCTGTCCCTGCTAAACTTTTGTGATGGGTCCGCCACTGTTCTAAGACAATGTGATCGAATATGGAGAACACCAATGAAATATGAAGTCCATATAAGCAAAACCAAAGATCTTAATTAAAACTAATTTGAAGGGAAAAAAACTAATCGTCCACCGCCATCTTTTGCTATCCCTATTGCGCGCGTAAAATTATCGGGCAATATTTGAAGGGACGGGTTACCTAAATCTCTTGGTAAAATGAAATCTCAAACATGCTGCACAACCAATGCGAAGCAGCCCTAGTACCAAATA